TTCCCATCTTGTTGAGAGAATGGGTGAACGCAAAGAACAACCTGAACTGGCATCTCTTCCTCGTTTCTACTGACAATCTGCAGAGTCATCAGTGAGCCTCCTTTAGGTTGATGCTTTAGAAGTGAAAAAACAAAGCACATTAAACCGCTTGTTTGGCCCAGGCTTGGCCATCTCCCAAGCAAGGGAGGCCTGAGTCCAGAGGGGCTGATGTACATCACCGCAGTTTCTCCCCTTCGGTGACAAGTTTCTAACAGGGGCTGTTATTCATGCCCTGAGATAGCTGAGCACTCGGTGCCGGGTGGGCCGCGCCTGGAGGGACAGAGTTCCGGCCTCCCTCACAATCCTGAGAGCTGATGAGGGCACCAGTGACCACACAGTGCTGCTGGGGTGGGAGAGGGACAGCCTTCACCAAAAAATGGGGAGGAGGGATTTTTGTTCTGAGACCTGAAATATTGCTGTTGTTTTTTTTCAGTCGCTCATTCACGTCTGACTCTCTGCAACTCCATGGACTGCAGCACGCCAGGCTCCCCTGTCCTTCAACATGTCCCAGAGTCTGCTCAAATCCAAGTCCACAGAGTGGGCCACGCTATCCAACCATCTCATCCTCTGTCACCCCCTTCTCTTATTGTTTTCAGTCTTCCCCAGCACCAGGGTCTTTTCCAGTGAGTCGGTTCTTCGCATCAGGTGGGCAAAGTATCCGAGCTTCAGCTTCAGCATCAGTCCTTTCAATGAATATTCAGGGTTGATTTCCTTTAGGATTGACTGGTCTGATCTTCTTATAGTCCAAGGGACTCTCAAGAGTCTTCTCCAGCACCACAGTTCGAAAGCGTCAGGACAAAGGTTGAATAAGTGTTGGGGACAGAAGGAATGCTCTGTGGGAAGACCCCACACAGGAAAGAATCCTGAATGTTTGAGCAACAGAAAGGAGAGTAATTTGAGGGTCAGGTGGAGGGTGACTTGACTCAAGGTCACCTTCCCATTCTTACTAGCTGACCTCTTATACTGTAGCCACCATCGTGCTCAGGGACCTTGAATTTCTGTGAGCAGCACTTGAAGGAAGCTCATTGCAGAACAAGAAACCTCCAAATCCTGTCACTTTATTTACTCCTTAAATTGCTGCAGCTCATATACAAGTCAGAGCTATTAATACCATGGTTTAAGTTCACACGGCATCTTTTTTTTTTTTTTTATGAAGACCACAAATTGTCCTACAGTCTTGGTCATCTACATTTAGAACATTCCTCTGAAAAGAATCCTGGAGCAAAGGACTACAGAAACAAACAGCTCCATGACCCTCCCTGCCAGGGCCTGGGCCTGCTCCAGCAGCCCATTCCCAGACAGGTCCAGAGCATGGGGTTGCTCTCAGACTGCCGCTCCCCGCATGTAGTCCCAACAGCATCAGCCTTGGGAGGGAGGCTCTGTCCAGCCCATGGGTAGGGGTCTCGGGACCGTGGGCTCTGGCTTTCAGAGCTGGTGACCTGCTGTGGAAAGAGCAGCCCCAGAGGCAGCGGTGGGTGTCAAGGGTGTGGACTGCTGCTGGGGTGATGTCACCCCAAACCACTTTGTAAATATTCACGCAAATGCAAAGGGAAAACCTCCAGTGTCGCCCTCAGATAACAGGGCATTGGCTCCTAGGTTAGTGACTGAGCCAATCCCGGGATCTTCCTGTTCTCATGGGCCGAGCTGCGATGAGACCAGCTGATGTCAAGTGTTTGCAATGCCAGCGTGGAGAGGTGTTGTTGGATGGGGGGACTTCGATTGACTGAATGCTGGTTGGCTTATGGACAGCGTGTATGTCCAGCAGCTTCTCTCTAGTGAAGAGCCACCTTCGGGAACTTGTGAGACATACAGTAGGCTCCCTGTACCCCCGCTGACTCCCTGAGTCTGAAGTGGGGGAGGTGGCAGGCATGTGTATTCTTTCAAAGGTCTCTAGGCAACTTGCCAGTGTTCCCCAAATACCAGGCATAGATGCCAGAGCAGCCGCGCTCTCCTCATCTGTCTCTCCAACTCAGCATCCTGTCTGATCATGAGGAGTGAGGGTCAAAACCCTGTAGGACCCCCTGATACAAGGAACCTGTCCTGCCTCAGTCATTGGTCATCCAGGGTCAAAGGAGATTCCGCAAGTTACTAACCATCTTTAGCTCCCTAGAGACAGGAGCCCCATTGTTAGGGATGATGTGTTAAACAATCGTACCCTTTGATCCTTTCTTGCTGGAGCTCAACTGAAGGAAATACTTGAGTCTCAAAGTCAAATTTGCTGCCCATGGGGGACCATAGACCCCTGCAGATGTAGATGAACCATGAAGACCCCCTGGCTCTGGGGCTAGCTCAACACTGGCAAGTCTCTCCAGTTCACAGTCCTCTGTCTCCCCTTTTGGAGAAAGAAGAGGTGCTGCCAAAATGGTTTAGGGTCCCTTGCAGTCCTAAGATACGAGCTGGGGTAAAATAGGATGAGAGGACCTGCTCCACTCAGGAGAGAACTCCATCTTGCACAGAAGATGCTAGAGATGACTGAGTTTCTGCCAATCCCCCAGTGACAGGAGTGGTCTTCTCTTGGGCCAGGGCAAACAGACAACAGCACAGGGTGGAGGCAGGAGGGGGCCGCTAAGCTGCCTCGCTGCGACCAGTGCGGACTTGGAGTTGTCAACCCTAATCGGGGATTAGTGGGAATCGAGCTGCTGAAGGGAGGACACAGCGAGAGTCCCGCAGGGCTGGCTGCCGGGTCAGGACACCCACTAAGAAAACACCAGGGCCTGCTCACCCACACTGTCCTTAGTGCTGCAATCGGGATGGCCCAGGACAGGGGAGGGGGCGTGCCAAGGCTGTAGTAGGAGTTACCCAGATCTTATCAGCCTGCTGAGCCTTCCATCTGAATTCAAATCAAGCAACACATCCAGGTACCAGGGAGAGCAGCTTGAAACACACACACCACACTTACACACACACTGAGCCACCTGATTCCACACTCAGACCCAACTGCTGTCAGAGAAGACTTAGAGTTGCCTTGAACTTATACTCAGCACATCATTGCCCCTTCCAGGCAGGAGTTCTGGAAAAACTAGTGTCTACGATTCTGCAGAGCGTGGTGAATAGCAGAGGACAGGCAAATAAGCCAAACCTCCCCCAACTCCAGCCCCCAGCCAAGGTCTCCACCCACACAGATGCAAGGGCGCAGGAAGAAAGGTCTTCATCCGAAAACTCCAGGTATTTTCTCCAGTTATTGGAAGGGCTCCCCACAAATTCCAGGGCAGAGATCTCCTCCTCTCTCAGCCCTCCAGGCATACAAGTAATCTGGAAGCTTCGAATCAAGGCAATTGCAGGTTCTGAGCCAATCAGGAAATGTCAGGGAACCAGGCAGAATGGTTTAAGCAGGACTGTCCCAGACTTACAGGAGGGAGGGTTGTGCCTCTGCCTGACTCTCTCAAGGGCCCCAGGGTGACAACAAGACCCTACAGATCAGCTCAGAAAAGGCTGAGAAGCAGAAGCAGTGGCCCACATCACACCCCCATCTCTTCCAGCTGAGATAAGACTTTCACCCGTTCACAACTCTAGCCTGCAGTGTACTCAGCCCCGGAACCCAGGCACAGGACACCCGGTCAACCAGGGGTCAATGACAGCAGCTTCGTGGGGAAACAAATTTGTGTTTGCTTGTCCAGGTGAGGTCACGGGGCTTCTGGGCTCCCACCAGAAATGGGGTGGTTCCTCTGAAGCTGTCCAGTTCTGGCAGCGGGGGCACAGACTCCAGGCACCAGGGTAGATGGAAGTCAAATGACCTTGAAGGGTTTTTTTCATCCAAAAGGCATGGTTATTTTTTCCCAGGGCTCAGAACATGGTCTTTTGTTGGATTTATGCTCATTCGCACTCAAAGCTTTTCTGTGTTTAAGTCCATGGCTACATGAGTCAAGGCCATGGCACAAGGACCAGACAGAGGGCTCACCATGGAGTATTCTGAAGGCTGACAGTCTAGACACACAGCATCTGCTGTTTCCAAAGCAAAAGGCCGTGGGCTTCTCCACTGGGTGCCCAAGCAGGTGGAGGAGCGTGAACACCTGGGAGTAAGAAGGACTGGCAAAGACTTATGCCCAGACCCACCAGGCCTTCATTCCTCCTGTGGACTATTTAGAAACAGCAGACACCAGGAGCGCATCATTAAACCAAGATGCCTTAAAAGTAACAATAAGCCACCCAGTCATTAACTAGACCAGGAACACAACCACAGGTGCCCGAGGCAGCAGAGTTCAGACTAAGCCCCTGAGTTTTCAGGAAGCTTCATTTCAAGGCAATCACAGGTTCTGAGCCAATCAGGAAATGTCAGGGAGCCAGGCAGAATGGTTTAAGGAGGACTATCCCAACCAGCAGGTAGCTGGGTTCAAATCCCAGCTCTGCCACCCATGGGCAGGGTAACCTTAGGCAGGCTACTTAACCTCTACAGGCCTCAGTTTCCCCCACCTCTAAAAGGCTGAGGACGCCTTTGCTCCAGGATCTGTGAGGATTCAGAGACGATCATGTGTACCTGAAGCCCCCAACACACGTCTGGCCAGTGGCTGGCCCTCAATGGTCACTAATTTTAATAGGTGCAAACCTTCGGGTAATACATTCTGGGTAAAATTCAGCTCCGTAGATGGAAGCATATTTGGTTCAGAGTGATTCATAAATCAGGTGCAAAAGCAGTCCAGTGTCCAGGCGAATACGGGAAACCACCTGGGACGCCAGCCAGGAAGGGCAGGTAAGAGCCAGAGGGGAAGCGGCCCCTGGACAAATCCCTCCAACAGCCAGGCTGTCCCTCTGGCACGCTTCACGTCAGGTTAATAAAACCTAATCACTCCGCCTTCATTCCCCATCCAGGGTCCTCCGTCTCCACGGTCTTTCTAACTTTCAAGGATGCTCTGCCCCTTGAAGCAGTCAAGGGCTGTGGCCAGGCTCCGGGGAAGAAGAGCCTGAAGACACCCCGCGATCACAGCGCCCGACCCCGCAGCACGGCCGCCCTCACAGAAACTCACCCCCTTCCGTTTGGCCTCTTCGTTCAGGGCGGTCACCCAGGCAGCCTGCCACTGGCTCCTCCAGCTGTTCAGAGTCAGGATCCAGGCGAGCAGCGCATCCGACTCTGGGCGCTGGCCGTCGCCAGGCTCCGCCGCCCGCCTCCGGGAGCGGGGTCGCGCCCTGGCCAGCGCCCACTGCGCCAGGTACAGGCCCACCGTGCCCAGGGCCACGACGAAGAGAGCCACCAAGACCAGCCACTGGACCTCATCGAGCCAGGAGCCCAGGCGGGACATGGTGATGGCGCATACCCGGCACGCCTCGCCCCAACTTCCCAGGCAGCCCCCGGCCGGGCGCACAGCCCGCGGGCGGCAAGCTCAGGACATCAGCTTGCCGCCGGCCGGGACTCGGCGGGGGGCGGGAAGGGGGCGCGGCGGGCGGATCAGGGCAGCTGGCGGTGCGGGCCCCGGGCGCCGAGAGGCCGGGTGGACGGGGTGAACGGGAGGAAAAGACGGCCGGCGCGCGACTGCCACGGTCCAGGACTGCGCCTCCAACCCCGCGCACCTGGCAGATAGAGACGCGGCGGCCTGCGTTCCCGACTCGGGCGTCTGGGCTGTTCCCGGGCCGCGGCCGGCCGCGCTTCCTCCTGCGTGCGCCGCCCCAGGCGTCCCGCCCGCGGCCCAGTGGCGGCCGGAGAAGGCTTGGGCCGCGGGGCGGGGGAGGGGGCGCGGCCTGCGGGGCGGGGCCGGGCCGGGGTCGGGGCGGGGCCTGTGCATCCCTTGTGCCTGGGTCGTCGCGTCCGTCCCCGCCCAAGCCGGCCGCCCGCCCGCCCTCTTAAAGGCCCGGCGTCCGGCTGGGCTGTCGGCCCCGCCCCCGCCGCGGCCTCGGGCCCGGGCAGCCACGTGCGCGCGCCGCCCGCCCCCTTCGGGGCCTCTCCAGCGCGGCGGCGGCGCGGCGTCTTCCGGACCTGACTTGTCCCCAGCGTGGCGACGCGAAAACGCGGGACTTTCCAATTAGCCCGACGCCGAGGCTTCAGTGGGGCGGTCTGGCTGGACTTCCATGAGCGTCTGTGCACACATGTGTGCACGCGTGTGTGTGTGTGTGCCTATGTGTGTGCGTGCGTATGGAAGGGTGATTTCTAGGGTTGCCGTCTGCCCGCCAGCAGAATACTGAATCTGGTTTTCACATCCTTGGAAAGTCCCTGGAAACCCACCATTCGCACCCTGAAGTCTGGACCCTCCCTTGCAGAGCTGCCGTGATATCTCCCAGGAGCGTCAGGAAGAAGGCTCATTAAGAAGTTTGTGCGCATGGAAGCGTGTGACACCTCCTGGCGCCCCTCGCCTTGCAGAATCAGCCCCCATCATTAGGAAATGCCTCAAAGGCACTAACCGGAGAATCTCAAAGTTCTAATGACAAACTTGAACCGTAAGATAGTGATTTGCTTGTTCTTCTGCAGCTATATGAAGGGGATTTGACCTTGAATTGGGTTGACTGAACCTGGGCACAGAAGTGCCTCTCTGGCTGGGTCTGATGGTGCCAACCAGGGTCTGCCTGTCTGATACCATCAGTGTGGGTCCTGGCCCCACCACTGCAGCAGAGGGTCCTCATTTATTCCTCCCCAACCCCTCCTTTCCAACATGGCTCAGGGAGAGGTTGCTAAGACAGACTAGTGTCTGGCCAATGGACATTAAGATCTAGATCTGGCTGGAAGGTTGGTGGCATTTATTGACAACGATTATGCACAAATCTTGGAAACAGTAGAGCAAAGAGAACCACAGACAGATGCTCTGACAGATCTGCCCTGGATGCCAATTAGAGACTAGGCTGAGGTGCCGGCTGGAAAGGGTGATCTTGGTGTAATGGTATTTGAAGAGTGTGTGTGCAAAGGCCCTGAGGCCCACATGTGGCTCAGTAACCCAAGGCATAGGATGTGAGTGGGATGGTGTGAAGGTTGCAGGGGCGTAGGAGGTGGGGCAGAGGCTGCACCTGGAGCACCTGAGTTATGGATAATAGATTGTGCCACAGACAAGGAGAAGCAAAAACCTGTCTTAAGCAGAGTAGAAAAATTGAATTTTACAAAGATCACACCTAGCAACATGTGGGACTAGATTGGAAGAAAGTGGCAGAGGGCAGAGAGACCAACTAGAAGGGGATCCCAAGGGTCCACAAGAAGGGTTTAACACAGGCCTGGTGCATGGCATGGGGGAGAATGGGCCGCCACAGAAGAGGACATTTCTGGCTTAGAGAGTGGAGGCAAGGAGATGAGGGTGGATGAGGTTTTTTGGTTTTTTATTTTTAATTTTACTAAAGTATAAACTTCCTAGGTGGCTCAGTGGCAAAGAACCCACCTACCAATGCAGGAGACACAGGAGACCTGAGTTTTATCCCTGGGTAGGGAAGATCCCCTGGAGGAGGAAACGGCAACCCACTCCAGTATTCGTGCCTGGAGAATCCCATGGTCAGAGGGGCCTGGTGGGCTACAGTCCATGGGATTGCGAAGAGTCTGACAGGACTTAGCAACTCAACAACAAAATTGAAGGATAGGTGATCTGCAAGGTTGTGTTAATGTCTGCTGTATAGCAAAGTGACTCAGATCTATATATACATTCTTTTTCCTATCCTTTTCCATTGCAGTATTTCAGGACCATGACTAGATCTCTGTGCTATATAGTTGAACCTTGTTGTCTATAGAGTGAGTTTGATGTGGTGAGAGCAGCCAAGGAGTTTACACTCAAGGGCCTGATTTTCTTTGTGACCCCATGGACTATAGCCTGCCAGGCTCCTCCATCCATGGGGTTTTCCAGGCAAGAATACTGGAGTGGGTTGCCACTTCCTTCTCCAGGAGATCTTCCCCACCCAGGGATCGAACCCAGGCCTCCCAAACTGCAGGCAGACTCTTTACCATCTGAGCCATCAGGGAAGCCCCTTTCTTTGAGAAGGAGGTGGGAACTCGGAGGTAGGTGGACTGGGAGCCCTAGTGGGAGACAGGACTGGAAGCTGGCAGGTAGGGGAATTCATCAAATGGCCCAGGTGAGCAGGAGCCAGGGAGAACCAGCCCTTCCATGGTAGATCTGATATCAGGCCTGACCTTCCGAAAGCGGAAATGCCGTGATCCAATCAGTTTCCAGCAAGTTATCAATCCCTTAAACTGTAGCTCACCCCTCAGCCCCCACACCGGAAAGGGTTGAGAAGAATTGCTTTGCTTTTCTCAGAAATCTCTTATTTGGCAGAAATGTCTAATTACTTTCTGATCTGTAGCCAGACCTATGCAGCTGAATAATCCAAGTCAGGCTGGCCCCCTTGCCAGAATACCTGGGACAGCTGGGTACCGCGGGCTGTCTGTCTCCCTGTTCCGTGGTGAGTACAGGTGTGCACCTGTGCCTGGCTGGGTGGCGGGGAGGGGAGGGCCGTCCCCACCCCGTGTGACTGGTGGGACCAGTCTCATTCCTCGGCTGCTGTATCTCTGGGGCACGCTACCTCCACTGGCTCATTTAGAGGCTTCTCACACGCTGTGAACTAACAACCACCCCAGTTTGGAATTCGTCACATGCTCTAAGTTTTTTCAAATGGAAGATAAACATATAAATATTGAATTGCTTCTGTGTAGAAGCAAAGTGAAGGAAAAGGAGGGATGTCACGGGCTCACAGGAACACACAGCTGGCCAAAATGTGCAATAGGAACTAAAACTCCTCTTCTAAGCCGAGGAAAAAAGAGCAGACTCCCTTCACTTCTGCTCTGTCACCTGGTCCTGTCCGTCCAGGGTGTGGAGGATACTGGACGGCTCAGTCTTCAGGGAGAGCAGCATTCCCTTGATGTGTGATGACAGTCCTCAACCCCATAGCCCTTCAACCCAAGGGGCCAGGCCATAGCTCTACCCAGGACGGAACTTTGTTGTCACCCCCTAAAAACCTCCTGATGGGACCGTAACTGCAGCAGTGGTTTGCTGCTGCTAACCCCACCTCAAAGGAAACCACTGTGCTTTGAATCTTCCGAGCCCCGGAACTGAGCTTCTGTGAGCAGGTGGGGTGGGGGTCTAGGGGTCTGGGTGCAGGGTAGGGGCTCATGGGTGCTTGCTGGCCGTTGTCCCCAAGCCGGTAGGCCCAAGGAAAACCATCTACACCTCCACCAACTGGGCCGCCAGAGGCATCCACCTGCCTGGAGTTCTCCAGGAAGGCCTGACTCTGAACCTTGGCCCATGTGGGCCCCAGAGCAGCAGAGAGGAAACGGCAGACACTGTGTTTGGAATGCCTCCTCAGACAATGCTCTGCAGTAACCGGCTGTGAGCCTGCACACGAGAAGCGGAGGAGAGGCTTCGCTGTCCCATTGGGTGGCTCATCTGTGTTTCCATGCTGCTGTTCTAATGTCTCCCTCTACCAAGCCCAGGAGGCTCTGTGAGGATGATGTTACTTTTTAAAATAGTATGTCTAGTGTCATAGATGTTTCATAACTACATACAAAGTTATTAACACTGGAAAGTACTCCTTACCATTGAACCAGATATTCTTATGGTCTTTTAAAAACACTTAAAAAAGTGGGATTAAGTACTTACTAAAAATGTCACTAAATTTCCGCCTAATTATCTTAAGTTTCCAGAAGAGGAAAGGGACAAATATAGTAAGCTTCTAGTTTGTCTCTGATTTGGTGGGGACACTTCTCCTTCACCCTGTAGCACTTTGCTTGAGGGTGATGATGACAATGGCCTGACGTATCAACTTGTGCCCGCACTGCCCGATGGACGGACGGATGCACTGACGGAGCCTGGGCCCCAGTGGGGCTGTGATGGGCCACTTGGAAATGCAAACATGCAACTTCTTCCTCTGTGTTTGACAGAATACATTCCGAGAATTCCTTCTTAGCGAAATGCTTTTAAGACTTGGCTCTGTGCCCTCAGCTGTGGGGGTCTGCGGGGACATTTGACCCCATCTCCTTGGCTGCATCGGCAGGACTTAGTCATTTCCACAGTCGGAGGTTGGGGGCTGGGGGCCATTTCCTGTTGTGCTTAAGGCAGGGGGTGGGGGTGGGCAGGGAGGCAGGGAGCCTGCGCCTGGTGGCATTAGAGGCCCCGGATCCTCCTGCTGGTAATTTTCATGGTTTTGTGATGCCATCCCTGGGAGAAAGGCTGCATCTGTGCACAACTGCCTCAATCCCAAGTACTAGCATCAGGAGGCCCGTGAGAAAATGCCTGAGGCCGACGATCAGACCACACACAGGTCATCCCTGGCTGGCTGCGTGAGATGGAGATCCCGTCTGTCCTGCGTGCCCCGTCCCGGAGGCCACCACTGCACCTGGGGGTGG